GGGGGGGGGCGGAGGGGGGATATACCTGCACGTGCACGTCCAAAAAAGGGGGGAGGGAGCGTGGGAAATTCCCCAATACTGACCACTTACCACTGTCTACCTTTTATTCGATATTTCGACCTACCTAGTGACCCAGTATCCGCATCAGAAAAATTTTGGCGCCCGAACAAGGTGCCAAAATCTTGTGACGAAATTCCAGGCGAATCCGTCACCTGTATTCCCGTAGGGTAACTACCTAGATTAAGGGCGAGAGTGAACCGCGAAAATTTAATAAAATACTCGACCAACACGGATCCCGGGACCCGCATCTATTAGCTACCTGCTACCTAAAAAGGTCCCGTAGAAAAGCTACCTACTACCTAATCTCCTCTCGGAGACAGCTACCGGTTACCTTCTCTAATTTTCCCCAGGCTCGCTGCGCTAAGATAATCATTAAAGTAGTAAGTAGGGACAGCAGTTAAATCCCTACAGTTTAGATGAACCCTTATAAAAATTCAGTTTTAGTGATGGATTAGAAAATAGTTGAAATTTCCCCTAAAATCCCCCTTATAATAATTGAGAATTGTCTGCGCGAAATCGGGTTAAGGGTCGGGGACTATCGAGGAAAACTGGCCGATATACTGTGCTTCCGGTAGTTCCTGGAACCCTTTTTGGTTAATTGGATAGGAGAACCCATAGGTTAGGTTGAGACGCCTACGCTCCACGGGTTGAAATAGGCTCGTCTACGGAGTTTCCCACTTATGCAGCGCTCAAGGAATTCGTTTTCAGCAGAGCCAGGGCCAGGGAGAGGATTGAAATGCACGCCCCTCGACCTCTATCAGTCGTCTCACGATCTCCTTCCTCAAGTTCTCAACAGGCTTCGAAGCCCAGGCCAGTCAAGCTGTATCCACCAAGTCAAGGAGTCCAGCCTACCAAGGTGCTCAACGTCTCCGCTGGTCCAACTTCGCAGCCTGCATCGGTGAAAACCTCTACAATCAACACGTCTCGACCAGCTCAGGGGTTTCAGCCTCAGGATTGGGCAGATATGTGCTTCCGTGCCTGTCCGATGTGTGAGGATGGGCATTCTCTCGACAAATGTCCGAAATTTAAGGCGTTATCTCCTACAGAGAGGAGATCATTCATAGTGCTCAAGCGTCGATGCTTCAATTGTCTGGGGAGGCATAATAAGGAGAATCGTCGGAGCCTCAGCAAGACCTGTGTCGTGTATCGTCAGAATCATCATTCGATGATTCATGTCAATCGTCCTCAACCGACGCCGCAAGGATCTTCTCAGCCTCGTCCAACTCAGCAGGTTCCTCACACATCGCAGGTATCTCAGCCCAATCAGTCGATACAGTCCACTTCCTCAAGGCCTGACATGTCTCCACAGTGATCTGCTCTGCCGACGACCGCGCCAGAGTCGTCGCCGTTCTATGATCCTTCTCTACGGCCGACTCTCGTGAATGAATCTCCATTTGTAGCATCGATCAATCGCGATATCTCTCCACAGCTCAGGCCAGGTGTCTTTCTCGCCACAGCTCTAGCCTCGCTCGTCTCGGATAATGGTTCTTCTCACGAGGTTAGGATGCTGTTGGATACTGGTTCAGAGCTGTCGTTTGCTACAAAAGACCTCGTTAATAAGCTCGGCTTGATAGTTTCTCCAGCTGTGCTACCGGTTGTTGGTATTAGCGGATCAAAATCTTCCTCTAATGGCTTTTTTCGATTTTCTTCAAGTCTCTGCATTCGAGTAATCAGATTCTTGTCAAGGCCTACATACTTGATCATCTCACGTCTTCATTGCCTTCGTTCTCAGTCTCTCAGCCTCGACATTGGGATCATCTCAGACGACTGCAATTAGCTGATCCAGATTATCTGACGCCAAGACCTGATGACATTCTCATTGGCGCAGATTTCTTTGGATCGATTGTGGAGCCGCAAATCATCAAGGGGCCATCACACTCCCCTATAGCAATGTTATCTCTCTTCGGGTGGCTGGTTCTTGGACCTACATCCGCAGTAATCTCAGCGGTAAGCTCAAATCACGTCTCTGTCAGCAACGAAGAACTTGGCGACCTTCTCACCTCGTTTTGGCAGCAGGAGGAAGTCTCAAAATCTGAAGGTAATGAAAGCGGTCTCACGAAGGAAGAGGCAGATTGTGAGGAGTTCTTCCAGCGCACCCATGTTCGAGATCGCTCAGGGCGCTGTATTGTTCGTCTGCCTCTAGTTCGTTCTCCGTCAGAGCTCGGTGATTCTCTAGGCCGCGCAAAGGCGTATCTTACGAGCCTGCTCAGGAGGTTAGGAAAAGGTCAGAGTTCTCTACAGCTTTATCGTGATTTTCTCAAGGAGTATGAAGAGTTGGGGCACATGGTGCGTGCTCCGGTTGTGCCTGTCTCATGCGTTTCTCGGGTCTTGGATTGTCAACCTGACGTGATGACCTTGGCACATGGAGCTTCGGCTTCAGGAGGGTTGAGGGTTCCTGAAGGGGGGCAATCGTAGCAGGATTCCGGTCGGTGTGCGTCTCTCAGGCAATCTCACTCTTCTGCTCCTACATACTACTTTCCTCATCACTGCGTTCTCCGGGAAAGTAGTGAAACTAGAAAGCTGAGAGTAGTGTTTAATGGCTCCAGTGAAACTAGCTCAGGAGTGCCTCTCAACGACATTCAGCATACTGGAGCCAAACTACAAAGGAACATCTCTGACGTGCTTCTCTGGTCTCGACAGAGCAAGTACATCTTCATGACGGAGATCACGAAGATGTTCCGTCAGATCAAGGTGCATCGGGAAGACTGGCCTCTTCAACAAATCTTGTGGCGTGATTCTCGGGGCCAGATCTGCACCTCTCAGCTCACCACTGTCACCTACGGGACCAAGTCTGCTCCATTTCTCGCCTGTAGGGTTCTCGATCAGCTGGTCAAGGATGAGGGACATCGATTCCCTCTAGCCGTCTCACCGTTGACCAGTGGTAGATATGTAGACGATATCTGTGGTGGAGCTGAGGAAAAAGATGATCTCCATGACGTAGCTCAGCAAGTGGTGGAGCTCTGCTGGGCCGGCGGATTCCCTCTAACGAAGTGGCACTCAAATAGTCCATCTCTACTTCGTTCTCTGATGCCTGGAGGATTCTCTCAGAGTTTGAAGCCGCTAGAGGATTCCGTCACGAAAATTCTCGGTCTGAAATGGGATCCCAACACAGATCGATTGAAGTTCTCGATCCATCTCTCAGCCGACGCGAAGTTTACGAAGAGGATTATTTTGTCCGAGATTGCTCAACTCTTCGATCCTCTAGGGTTGCTATCACCGGTAGTGATCCGTGCGAAGGCTCTTCTCCAGCAACTCTGGTTGGAAAAAATGGATTGGGATGATGAGTTGCCACTACATCTGGCCCAGAAGTGGGCTCAATTCCGTGAAGAACTATCTCAAGTGGAACATCTCTCGATCCCTCGTTGGCTGGGGTGTAGGAAGGAATCTCATTTGGAAATCCATGGCTTCTCTGATGCGTCTCTACTAGCGATGTCTGCGGTGGTTTATTTGAAGGTGACGAGTGCGGATGGTGTCAACATCTCTTTAGCTATTGCTCAAACCAAGGTGGCTCCTCTCAAGAAGCTCACTATTCCGCGTCTCGAGCTCAACGCCGCCGTCATCCTAGCTAAGCTCACAAGGTACGTTATGGATCAGCTCAACCTTGGTACCGTGATGGTACATTTATGGACGGACTCTGCTGTTGCTGTTGCGTGGATTTCCGCTTATCCTTCCAGATGGAAGGAATATGTCCATAATAGAGTACCAGTTATTCAAGAACTCGTACAGGAAGCCAATTGGAGGTACGTCAGCGGAAAGGAGAATCCTGCTGACTGCGCGTCTCGAGGCATTTCAGTAGCTCAACTCAATGCCCATCATTTGTGGTAGACGGGTCCGAAATGGCTACAAAAGGATTCTTCTCAGTGGCCAAAAGGGAGCACAAAGTTGGACCCGTCAACAGATCTCGAGGAGAAGCCTGGGGTGACTTTAACTGCTTCTCTCGCAAGGTCTAGTCTCTGAGATCTCTGCTGGCGATACTCATCTCTCTACAAATTGCTGCGGATCACAGCAATTTGTCAAACAGTTGCAGGGAACTTCATGCGTAAACTCGATAGGAAGAAGAACGTCGTTGTTCCAGCGGTTTTTAGCCCTGAAAGCATGGAAGCAGCTCGACTCTATTGGATCAAGGCGACTCAAGCCTATCATCTCCAAGCCGAGTGTGACATTATCTCTCACGGATTCCAGTTGAAGAAGTCTCATCCGTTGACCAAACTCACTGCGTTCATTGATCAACAAGGAGTTCTCAGAGTGGGCGGACGTCTGAAGTTCTCAACTCTAGGAGCAGAGAGTAGACATCAGGCGATAATCCCTCAAGGATCAGTGCTCGCAGAGCTTCTCATCAGGGACTCTCATCAGCGTACGCTGCATGGCGGAACTCAGCGCACGTTGACGCATCTCAGGAGGTCTTACTGGATTATTGGAGGTCGTCTACCAGTAAGATCCTTCATCCTCAAGTGTGTTGAGTGTGCGCGTCATCGTGGGATCAGAGCGCAGCAGCTGATGGAGCAGCTTCCAATGGCACGTCTTGTATCTGATCGAGCCTTCTCTAACACTGGTGTGGATTATGCAGGACCAATATCTCTCAAGACGTGGAAAGGGCGTGGGCACAAGACTCAGAAAGGGTGGCTAGTGGTGTTTGTGTGCATGGCCACGTCCGCTCTACATCTGGAAGCTGTCACGGACTACTCTACTGACGGCTTTATCGCGGCCGACAGGAGGTTCGTGAGTCGCCGAGGATACTGCAGACATCTCTACAGCGACTGTGGCACAAATTTCATCGGAGCTGACAAGGAATTGAAGAAGTTGTTCTCTGCTGGTACCAAGGAATTCCAGCATCTCTCTGCAGTATGTCTCAAGGATGGAACGAGGTGGACGTTCAATTCTCCCGGAGCCCCTCATTTTGGAGGAAAATGGGAAGCAGCGGTCAAGTCAGTGAAGTATCATCTCTCTCGAACGGTTCGGAATACCACTTTCACGTTCGAGGATCTCTCAACGCTGCTGACCCGGATTGAAGCAGTTCTCAACTCCAGGCCTCTACAAGCGCTCTCGGAAGACCCTGATGACGTGTCCTGTCTCACCCCAGGACATTTTCTCATTGGAGAAGCTCCAATAGCTCTCCCGGAGCCTAACATCGAACATCTCAACGTTGGACGGCTTTCAAGATGGCAACTGATTCAACAGAGGCTGCAGTTCTTCTGGAAGCAGTGGTCTACATGATATCTGCAGCAGCTTCAGTCCATCTGTAAGTGGCCTCATCCGTCCAACGAAATCAACATCGGCAGCCTGGTCCTTCTCTACGACGAGCGGTTCCCGCCATCCAAGTGGCCTCTTGCTCGTGTCACAGCTCTACACCCTGGGAAGGACGGTCTCTCCAGAGTTGTGACAATCCGGACCGCCTCGACGACGTTGACCAGGCCGATCTCCAAACTGCTTCTATTGCCGATCTCTACCAGTTAAAGCTGGTCTCTACCGACTTGATTAATCTCTATTTAGTGTTCTAGGTTATCTCGGATGCAAAAGTTATCTCGGATTGTCTCTACTCCTTCTGTCAGCAACGAAGTTGCTGACGGGGGGGGGGAGAATGTTGAGGCGAAAACCTCATATGGCACTGGGCCACAGGGTGGCAGAACCTCCTGGACTACCTCTGCTCGACCGGCCGTGCGAGTTTATCGGTGCCCCTATATCGCACCTGTGGCACTGACCTTCTCTACGATTATAATTATTCTTAACGTTCTCTACCTGTCGTGTGTTCTCAAGTTAACGACGTTCTCTAACGCTCTCTAATTGTATCTCTAATTATCGTGCGAATCTCAATTAAACCATATACTCTACCGTGCTCAAATTAATCAGTGTTCTTCGCGGTTAATGTGACGCATATTATTTATGCATATTTTTATATATTGACGTTTTGTTTGACTCGAAATATATAAGAATTTCTCTGTGACAGAACTCAGTGCGTCTCGCGTCACGATTATTTCTCTCGAAACCTCTCCTTAACCATATCCCAGTGCTCTACGGTTTTTTTGACGTTCTCGCCGTAACAGAGAGGGTTGGGGTAATCTTCAGTTTAGTACGGGTGGAAGGCCATGTGAGCGAACGTAGCTCTCTCGCTTGCATGGATAGCCAAGAGCTTTATGGTTTAGCAAATTAAGATTTAGGTTTAGTTATAGTTACAGAGAAATTAGGATTAGTTAGTTTCGTTAGAAGATCCCCAATTCCTCTCCGAAGAGGGTCCCTACCTGATGAGCCACCTGATAATAGGCATAGACGGGGCAAAAATCCGCTCCCCCAAAATCTCGCACAAAACCCCTTGAAAAACTTTATCGCGGCTAAAAGCCGGTTAGCATAGTTAATAGAACCCCCAGAGTAATAGAAAACAACGATAATATTAATACTTAGTAGTAAACGAACAAACCCCCAATTTCAAATTTAAATTTGTTACGCGCCGCGAGCTTCGCAAATTCCAGATCAAGGCTAACTCGGTATCTAGCCACGTACGCCGCCACCGGACGGGTGCACTCGAGGAGAGTCGCCCCCACCCCGAGCAACAGGTTCGAACGGAACCACGCGACCGGCCGGCGTTAGTTTCCCTCGGGCCGTTACGATAACCACGTGTGTGCCGAGGATTTTGTGCAGCAAGCGACATCACATTCCTGCCCCAGAGCACCCGTACAGCGAAAACCGCATTCCCGAGACTCCACGAGCACCCTGGTAAGTACCCGTGTGTTTAATTAAGTGCAAATCAGTGCGGGAAGTGTGATTTTCGGGCAATTAGATGCCACGAGGATGAAAATTGGCAAATGGCGTCTCTACCTCGCGATATGACGCCATACGGGAGACTCATGGTTGAGAAAGTCATAAGTACTTCTCAACGGCTACCCGTGCTCCGTAAAGCTACCTGATGCTCCCTAGTGGTATCCCATAACTACCTAATCGTTTTAAACAGATTTTGGAACTTAATTTCGCCACGAAAAGGCGAAATATACGGGATGAGGCATTCCACGCGGATCGGAATACCCCTCTCCCATGCTACCTATGGCTGCCTATTTTCTACGCTCTCTAACACTAATTTTTCGATACCTGCTACCTACTTTATTGGGTTTTCCGGGCTCACCCGAAGAACTCAGGAAAAAACCCCGGTACCTACTAATTTAAGCTACCTTTACCGGCTTTATTCTAGCTACCTGGACTTACACTTAATTGCTACCTTTTAATAAAAATTTATCGTGAACCTTCCATTCAATTTATTGCTACCGTTGCATTAAAAATTTTATTGCTACCTTTTATTAAAAACTTTCGGCTACCTTCGCGAGGCTGTATCAGTTTGTCTGGGTGATGCACTAATGCTCCCCGAGACGTAATTGTCCGCCATTTTGTGGATTCCGGTGGGGGATGGGGACGCTATCCCGTAGTTAATAAATTTTCATGGTTGGAATCCACAAAGCTATCATGCTACCTCTCGCGAATTAGAATTACTTTTATATGGTTACGCAATTAATTAACCAATTAATTTGATTATTTATTGGCAGTATCGGAGACGCCATCGAGTATATAATTTATGAATTGGTTAGGGAAGTAATTCGTTGATTAATTAATAGTTCGTCATTCAGGCCGGTAAAACCATTGAGTCAATAATTGATCCCTCAATGATTAAACGGGGAAATTTTGGGTACGGCTATCTGCCCCAGCACGGTGGTTGATTTAGCCCGTGATCGGAAAAGTTTATACCAAACCCCCAAATTACGCTACCTAAGCAGGGGAACAGGCTACCTATACATCCCCTAGGGTCTGAGGCCCTTTTCGCAATTTTCAACATCTCGATTCGCTACATGTACGGCTATCTACCCTGCGGATTCTATTGATTTAGATAATCGGTAAGGGTTGTGCTACCTAATCGGGAAAATACGTTACCTGAGGTCTCCCTACGTCATGAAACCCTTTTCGCTACCTATAACCGTTGGCGAAACCCTTGCCGGGTTGCCTACCCCTTTGGCGCTACTGATTTAGCTAGACGTCGCGGAGGTATCTACCGAACCCTCGGATCACGCTACCTATCTGCGGAATCCGGGTATCTAAGACCTCCCTGCATCGGAGGACCTTTCCGCTACCTTGCAATTTTATTACACCCCCGGCGTGGTGGTAGCCCCGTGGGTAAAGCAGATTTTGGTTAGAGATCACCGATTCCCCTACCAAAGCCCCGGATAACGCTACCTAACGAGGTAAATAAGCGACCTAATGACTCCCTATACCTGCGGCCCATCTCCGCTACCGAAATGGTCATCCAGCTAGGTCAACTGCTACCTAACCGACAAATATTCCGGAGTTTGTAAATTACTAAGAATCGGGCTACCAGTTCGAATGAAGTCGTTACCGAACGAGTGAATAATGCTGCCCAATAGAATTTAAGCCCTACCTACGGATCGGTAGGAATTATAAGGTCGTATTTCTCTCTCTCGCTGGAACCCGATTAAAATCCCCTGCAGTTTCCTATCTTTCCCACCTTAATAACATAAGTAATTTAATAAAATTAAAAGCCGTTCTCTCTCCATTACTGCCCCATGGAGCTCCCGTTTATCATTATTCCCCTTATATGTCATCAAAGTTAAATCCTTCTCTTTTGGGCGAGTGCCGGTCGTATGTAAAATGTAGACTGAGCAATCTATATTAATTATAAGTTTCCTAATGGACAATATTCATTTTTTTTTGTCTGGGCAATAGTGGAACAAGTAAAGATATCTTCAATTGGTTTTCATTTTTCGTACCCGAGTACCCGTCTTTATAAATACCCGAATAGTTTAGTTCAGGTTCTTGAGATTATCTCGAAGTTTGATAATTGAGGTTCTCGCCCACGAATCCACCCCTCTCTCACCGACCCGCACACTGAGCAACCGAACAGTCCCGTACGCTCGTACTTCCACGACTCTAGGTTTAGCTTCTGTTGACAGGAAATTCTGGGGATGATCAGTGAAAAATTGAGTTTTGAATACGGTTAGAGTGACGATTGCGGTTCGTCGATTCGGCGTAGCTAAAAATCGGCTGGCGCCCTAAACCAGGGCCCGGCAATCTGGGCTCATCGGGCTCACGCGGCTCCCGAGGTTCGTTAGTGAGAGCTGGGAGAGGGGCCTCATCCACTTAACGAAACTACCTGCCCTAATTCGATTTTTCTGTCTCTCTGAGGCCTAGTTTGACCAATATCAGCAGAGGGCGGCCGTGTCATCGAGCGGCAATTTTCAACTTTTCATAAATTTGAAATATAAATATCAATTTTTCACTCGAAATAGGCAGCAATATTCGATAAACAAATCTTTCAATGCTTTCATGATGAGCACTCACCGTGGACAACTATTTTATGTCCAGACGATATTTGCAGCAATTTACTTAAAAAAAATGCAATATTTGATGGCAATTTAAATTTGAATTTTAATTTTGGATTTTAGAGGGATGAGCAATATTTGTGCAATTTGAATATCTGTCGAAAATCAATAAAAATTTATTAAAATGCCGTTTTCAATAGTAATGGATGGCAGGGTAGAACTTGGATTGCCCCGAATAAGTGACAAGTATGTCCGATAGTTTCGATGAATGACCATGATCACTGGAAAACGCGGTTTATATGGTGCACTAAAATATAGTGCAGTTTGGTTTCTAGAAAACCTAGACATTGGAATTGAACTATGAATAAAAAATTTCATTTTTCATTTTGACGTGGCAAAATGAGCAAAAATCAAAATGTAATATGAAAATCAGCAATGGAATTTCCAGGAATATATTCCAAAGTCGACAATGGCAACTTTTCATTTTTCAAATTTAGAGTTCCAATATTACTATTTGAAAGAACAATACTAATTGACGACTACCATTTCGGAAATATATTCTCCAAAGTTTTCCTATGCAAATTTTACTTTTTCAATTTTATATTTAAATTTTAAAACTGAAATTTAGCGCGAATTCTGGTGAGTCAGCCATTTTTATTCGACTCGCTCGCCACTCTACGTGACTGACGAAAATATCGTCACCACTGGGACTTATTCGCGCACAATGGTTGGCTAATTGGGTACCCATTAGGATGAGAGGATTATCCCGACCCTTGGAATAGGCTGGCTCCCGACTACCTGAAGGTTGCCGGGCCCTGCCCTAAACACATTTTTAAGGAGTGGAATGAGCTGCTGATTACCCCCGGAGTTTCGTTTAGGTTTTTATGGTTTTGTCGTTCCGGA